AAATGGGCGCTTGTAGCAGGAAGGAAGCCAACAGCCTATGGTTGCGTTAGAAATATGCCGCGACTGATGGCGGGTAGGCGCGCAGGGCTTAGTTCCGCCCGAGCGGGTGCGTTCGCGTTAACGGAACGATTGCAGGGGGGGGGGGGGGGTCGAACTCCAACGAGAGAGCAGCGGTGAGCTACGACGGTCTCGGGGCTACTCGTTGTGCTGTTTTGTCTAGCAGCGACGGTTGGCGGAGTGAATGTTGAGGCGGGGCAACGGAAATGGAAGCAGGAGTGGCATATTGATCAAACGGTCGGCCATGGTAGAAACGAGGCAACATGAGTGGGTGCCAGCCCCGCATTACGCAGGAAGCTTGCGAAAGCTACCGATTACTTTTTCTTCCCGACTGTGGCTGTTACTGCTATCACACCTTTTCCGCACCGGCGCCATATAGCAGAGCTTATCCATAGAAAATAAAATGGTAAAATAGCACTCTGATATTATTGAGGCCACCATCGTAGCAGTTAGGTCAGACAAGACGCGCTGTAGTAGCGACCGTCTGAAAATATGACGTTCGTCTTAACTCAAGGTACCTAGATGAAAAAACATTTTGACAGACAGAGCCTCCACCGCAAAAAAACATGGCCCCGTCACCAACCGATGTAACGCAAAACAAAAGATTTGCCAGATTTTATGGTTATGCGCTATCTCTTTAACTGGTTTTCCTAGAGTGACAGTTATCCTAAAAAACGTTTTTAGTTGGCACACTCTCGTAGTTTGCGTTTGAAGCAGGGATGATTTATCCGTAAACAAGGCCTTTCGTTACAGTGGCAGTGACCGGAATAACCCGGAGCAGAACAGGCCCATGAACGCAATCGAAAGACGATTGGGTACAAAAAGGGTCGACACTTGCTGGCTCTCTACCATTGTGGCAATCGAGAATCGGCGGTGTAGTAAAGCAAGGATCGATGCAATCGAGATGAATGAGTTAATCACGTTCACCGTGCAAGAGTGCAAAAGGCTCATTTGGCATCATCCGCTTTCTGACTCTCTTTCCTTCTTGTTTGGCCTCTCTCCTGATTTCCTACGGACAGTGATCGAGCAGCGAGCACCGATTTGCCATGCCACGCTTCTTGTTTGCCGCGAGAATGCCAGAGTTGACTTGGCATGGGTTGGCGATGGACTAGAGCTGTTTGCTAGTTACTTTTGTGCCGCTGCGAACGTCCGTCGTTTTGGCCAACAATCCCGGTAGGCTCCACAGGACCAGCAGCGTTGCAGTGTTGCTAGCTCCAACAACGCTTTAGCTTTCCTATCTGTCTATCCTTTTCTTCTTCTGCCGCTGGCGCAGCACATCGCTGGACAGCGAGATCAATCCAGGATACAGCGGATTCCTGTAACGGTCTGCCGTCCCTGCTTGTTTCGCAAACGAGTCACAGCAGAGAACAACAAGAATTAGAAAGAGACGTAGAAGCGCATTGCTCGTTTAATAAAGGAAGGAATAAATGTCCCACCGGCCTTCAGGCGATACACTTATTATGTGACTCTTGGGTTTCTATCTATATTATTTCTATGTCTGTCGCTTTGTTGTCAGAGCATTTACATAAATTTAGAATAATCGGCAGCGCATACTTTTGTATCTTGGGTTTATGTGCCATCAGCAATACGAACAATCTGACCTATGTATAGCATTATCGAGTTATCTCGATTCGTAGTCACATATGCGATTAAGATCTGTGACTGAAACTCTTTTCAAACCGAATTACACATATATGTTGAATGTTTTTCTCTTTTTTTTGCTGGTGGCGATCAGTAGCAAGCGTTCTAGGTTCGCTCCGGCTAGCAAAGCCATACATCGACAGAAGTACAAAGACACATGTAGCTGAGGAATCAGCACAGCTTAAGGTAATTTGTAAAGAAAAAAATCCACTGGGCCTCAAATAAGGCCGCTAAACGATACGGTGGACCTACGCTACTTCTCGCATACGTTAGTATCCTGACCTACTAATCTTTAGCGAACCGTGTTTGCACTTGAAGTATTCACGAAATATTTAACGAAATAAACTCGTGCATAGAAAACATGATCGGAGAGGGCTGAAAGCTCAAAAAGTTGCACTCGAATAGAACGAGAAGACGGTATGAAAAAGGAATCAAGCAGGTAGTAGTAAAATCTGACCTTCCGCCGGCCCGGACGAAGGAAATAAGCAAATTTGGTATTGGGTCGGTCGATAGTCTGACCAACTGTATTATCCAGTATACGTTGTTCGTTATCGTCGCCCATTGCCAGTCGGCTGGCCCCTTTGCGGTCTGGTCTTTCGTAGCCTTTATGTTCGTTTATGCTAAATCCTCTAAATCCCATCGTCGGATGAAGCCGCTCGGCCGCTAGGATTGCCGTGGCTATTTCTTGCTACTGCAAACCTACCGCTCGGCTACTCCGCTGGCCGGTAAGCCTGCTCGTGTGTAAGTTAGCATTCATGACTTCCGGCGAACACCCGTCCGTTAGTCTCGGCTTTACCTAACATTCGAGGTCAAGCGATTTCTTTCTATGCACGGGCCTCTTTTTAGTAATCCATGAGTAGTAACACAGTATGACGAGCTGGCTTGAAGGGCATTTCACAAGCGGGACTAGGGGACAGCAAGACCGCGCCTCGCCGCTTCGTAGCCTTATATCCTTTTCTCTCGTTTTCTTGAACTCATACCTTTGTTACCTTATTATCCTCAGTAGAAGTCAGACCATACGTGTATAGGTTTGCTTGAATTGTGTCGGGCGGGACAGTACATTTTGCAACAGTTACGGCTACAGCAGCGACGATGGTGACCAGCCACGATTTAACAGGGAAACAACTGTCTCGGGGCAACTCCGGCTTTCACGTCATGTAGGAAATCCATATATAGGCACACAGGCACTATAGGAGTCCCGTACAGAGCAACTGTCACTTTTTAAGAAAAGGGAGCAACTTATTAGCTAGCCAAAAAATGTTCTGTGCCTTTATGGACCACGTAACTTTACAGTTTACTATTCTACGACTGCACACACTGCTTTGCGTGGTTGCTGTTTGTGCCACCCGTCGCCGATCATCGCAACGTCCCTTCTGCTTGCGCACCCTCAGTAATCTCGTTACTGCCGCCAAAGAGGCCCAAAGACCCTAGGGTTATCTCGACATCAGATATTATTAAGTTGGACTCCTTCGGCCTAGCCTTCTCGACCTGATCAAGTCTACTTGCTTGCCGGCTCATTCGACTTCGACATTACATAACTCCACAACCACCGATTCCTGGCCTTTTAGCCCAGTGCCCCCTCTATTGGCGTCAAAGTGGCTCGCAACAAAACTGGTGTCCGAGGCGACCTATCCTACTTAGATGGCGGTAATGACAACTATTTCTTGACTATTTCTTTTTCCGTTGGACAACTCGTTTCATACGCTCGCATTGCCTGTTTCAGTGTGTCTGTCAGAGTTTCGTCGGTAGGTCGGCTTCCTGTATTTACCAGCAGTGGAAACAGCAGCGGCTCCGAATCGAGAGCAGGCAACAGCATATTGCGCAAGTAATGTATCTCAGAAGGTCGTTGTTGCGAAGTGGCGACCATTACCACTACTGTTATTACTGCTGCTGCTACTACTAAGGCGACAGTGAATAGAGAATTCTGCTCGTTGCCACTGCCACTGAAGTAACTAGAGAGTTAGACTGCCTGGTGGGTCGAGATAGAGCTACGCAGAGTTCCCTGTGCCCTACTGGGTCGGCAACTGGCGTTCTCAACTCATTCGTCCGCTTGCTTGAGCGGCGTGGTGCAGCACAACTTCTCCCTCTATCGTCTAACCCTCTTGCTTACCTTTTTTCTTCCGTTATTTCTCTCTCACTGTCTTTTAGCGCTACCCACGCGCCCAGGCCGCCGTCGGCGACAACGCCAGTATTCGTGCTAGTAACAGCAGCGGTAGTAATACCCCTTTAAAAGACCCACTGTCACCCAAGTCCATCTTCCGGGCGCATAAATCCCCTTTTCTGAGTTGGATGCCGCTTGCAAGGCGTTTCTAGGGAACGTGGACTAGCGGGCAAACAGCAACGGCTTTTGGATGGTCGGAGTGGCAGGAGCAGCAAGTGACGACCGACGAAACAGGACAGAAGGTATCTTGGGAAGTCGACGCCTAACCCCACTGCCATCCATGTGTTTATGTCGCGGCCTGTCCACAAAATGTCGCCTAGTCGAACTCAGGCTGGGCCTCCCTGGCCCGCCACCGTCGACGTTCAGGCTTGTTATTTTGCGCGTATTTTACGCTCGAGAAAGCACTGCTCTGACTGGGTCGGCATTGCCTGCCGGTGGATAGCCTCGCGCTCCGGTGATGCAGTGCAGTAATGTGGGTAGCCGAAGTCCCCCGCACCCACCCCGAAAGAGCACTGTACGCTTGCTGCTGTGGCAGCGAAGGGGCTCGGAGAACCGTTGCCACCATAGATAGAGAGAGAACATTGCCGCGGACGAACGCCGTCCTCTGCGTCGAACCCCGAGCGGACCAGAGCGGGCTGAGCGGTGCAAAGCGCACTCAGTTTCTAGGAGCTGCTGTCAACTGAATGAGGTAGTCCCAAAAGAGAGATAGGAAACCTCGGCCCTTTGTTAAATCTTCTAAAAATATTGCACCAGCAGACTCAGAGCTCCCTGCGCCCACTTCCCTGGCTTTCCCCCAATGTTCGCGCACTCTCTTTTAGAAAGAACTTCGACATTCCACATGTCGCAAGGAAAAGTAAAGGACAGCAAGCGCACATACAAACAGACACGGATTACATACACACGACACATGCGTTCTATAATTGAGAGGTTGTAGGGTACTTGCCTCTAGAAATTATTGTCTTCACAATTTTACCCCAAGCAGCCAGTATTGTTTATATCTTATGTGTATATTATAGTATGTGTATGGTTTCGAATGGAATAATAGATAACAAAAAATATTCATGAATATAGTTGCGTTTAACGACCGCTCATCGACCAGTGACTAATATTATATCTGTCAATATTCTATTATTTCTTACAGAGTTCTTCGTAAGCTTTCGTTTACCGCGTTATTTATAATTTTAGCGGTGCATTCTGTGAAAACTGCCGTCCGAAACCTTGACTGGTGAGTAAACCTAACCTCACAGATGATTGTCATGATGTTTTATATATCAACAGGCCTAATCAGCAATTATTTTTTACTTTATATGTAATAAGTACTTCTCCGCAATTTGATCTTATATCGGAAATGCCGCTGGATGTTCCAACGAATTTGAAATAATCTGCGTCAATAGCTCTTGAAAAGGTTTCTTCTTTCAGTAACACAGAACGTCACACTGATTACGAAATTAAACAGTTCCGGATTGCCAATAGGACAAGCCTTGTGGAGAGCATCTACAAAAGATCAAATGAAGCTGCGATTCGAAGCTCTGAAGTTTAGAACGGGGTAAATTCGAACGACTCAATAGTTAGGCGATTGCGTACGTTAAGGTGCCACCTTCTGTCGTCATGTTATAACCTCGCCGATGTACAAAATCATCCCTTGGCTCAGCTGATAGGACATGGCGAAATTGATTAGCAAGAAGAAAGTCGTTTTCTACGAACGAGGAGAAATTTTTCGCATCGCATTAAGCCACGGAACGTGCGATATTACATTGAGCCATGTAAAAATATACAGGCATATGAAATATGAATACGACGCATTACGTTTCATTGTATTTCTCTCTATTTTCTGTCGTCAACTAAGATACGAGTGAGCGTAACATCCTTTATATGGAAAATCTACGAGTAAACGTGTTCCAAATAGAAATCAATTTTGATGGTGATAAATGATGATGTCTGATGATGGTAGTATCGGACTTGATAGGTGACGCGACTGGTATCAGTTTATTTAGCGGCTTGTTAAGCTTTCAAAGCACGTTCTTATCTGCTTAAATTTTTGGCCGGTGTTGTCGCAGCAACTGGTATTGTCCAAGGTGTAACCCAAGACAAATCTGCTATGATTGTGTTCCTATTGAAGCTGTTGTTAGTCCAGCAGTTAGTCGTTTTCACTGCAACTACCGGTTTGTGTACACGCTATCAGGCTAGCCAGCGGGTTCCACAGGACGTAGTGCCGCCCTGGTCTCTATGCTATTTACCATTGCCTGTTCCGGCAACCCCCAACTCCGTTTTCAGTTTCTCTAGCCCATTCTTGCTGCCCAATCGTTGTATCTGGTGAAACTCAGTGTATAGGGGCCCTGCAATTCAGCTTGTTATACAACGATAAAGGCAGGAACCTTTTCTCCATAAGGGACACGGCAGGATAGGACGTCGATACCCATGTGCGTGGCCGGCATCACCACCAATGAAACGCTCTATTAGTACTGCTAGGGCTGACTCAATGGAACCGGATACCCGTAGAATCAGCTCTCAGCTACTTCTGGATTTGACGATCTTCCTTTTGTCCCACCATCACCAAGAACCTACTCAGGTAACCCAATAGCGACTGAAGTAAGAAACGACGAACGGTACGTGAAAGATAAAGAAAGCATTTCGTAATAATGCTTTAACTCTGTCATGCTGTCTTAACTTTGTTACTGCGACGATGAGCAATAAAGCAACTGTTTCTTCTTCATTGTTGAGGTAAAAGAAGATTTTGTATGTGACATGCCTGTCTATATGACGAAACGCAGCAGAAATATAACTGCGCACATTTCAGGAAGAAAGGGATTTCTGCGTTTTCTACTAAAATGTAACTACACCCACCGTCGCAGGCATTCATGAGTAACACTGCGGATTTTTCGTAAACGCCCAGCCACGTTCAAGCAACAGCTATGTTGTCTTTCGTGAGGCCTTGCGCGCTCCCGAACTTAGCCTATCAACTACCCCTTACTCATCCGTATACAAAGTAGAGTTGTGAGTGAGTCTGCGCCTTTGTCACGTTGGAATGGTGCCACGCTATTTATGGGCGGCGTGTCGGAGCGGCTTCAGCGACTTCTACTATTGCGCCATACAGTTGCAGCGATTGGCGTACTGTAGTCAGAGTGGCGTCGCTAAGATCAGTGGCAGGAGCCTTGTTACTATCCACGGTTTACGGCGGTCTACGTTGTCTGGGAATATCTCTCAAGCACCGACGGCAGAATGTTCAGTGTCTACTTGGGCTCGCTGCTCTCTATGACGAGAACATGCGGTTGGTTAGTCGACTGCTGGCTTCGTGCTACACTAGAGTTCGAGAGACGAAGTTAAGCATAACGCGGTCTGCCGCGCAGCCTTCGGCCCGCTGCCAAAGGCTGAGCGGCTGACTAACGACGCCAGGCCATGTCGGGCCTGCCTGCCTGACTGCCGCCGGGAGTCTGTATTAGATGAGCGTCGTAAATTCGAATGGAACTTCCGCGCTTGTTCAGTTAGGAAGGCCTTTGCACGCGCGGTTCATTCGTTCACGTAGCCCATTGCTGCCAGCGCCACCGCGTTACCCGAACATCCGAACAAGGCCGAGCCTGGCCTTCTCCAGGCCACCGTGAGATCTCTAGTGAGCGAAAGAGAGAGGCGACGGCCAGCAGCTAAGGGATGAGCTTCTAAATTAAAATGAAATTCCTTCGTATATTATTCTAATACTAGTATTATTGCATTATCACAATACAAGCTGCCGTTACCAGCTGCCAGCTTTTATGGAGAAAATGAGAGCGGTAGAAAGAGATAGTGGAAGAGAGAGACCGTCTAAGAGGCAAACTGCGACCATAACACCGAGGCATATGTGATACGGTGAAGCAGAGAGGAATGAGTACGACTTGACGGAGGTTAGAATGAAAGCGGGAGTATTCTTTGCCAGCGTGAAATTGCGGCAAAGTGTTGGCTGACGTTCCTAAGTTCCAGCCGATTAGAGTACTAATGATCTAATAATAAACGATGCCTAGCCTCGGAAGCGGAACGCTTCGGCTCCGCAGCAGCGCGCCACTGCTTGAATTATTCCGTAAATGAAGGCGTTCGGCCGTCTCGATACCGCTGGCTAGTAGTTAGCTATAGTGCGGATCGCGAGCGGACGACCAGATTGGCAAGCGCTTGCAAAGCGTTAAGGGATCCGTGTAGTCTGGGATCGCTCTTCCATTTCAACGAAATGTGGTCGTGTGCCAATGCAGTACGGAGCCGATTCTGTTTCCCCGACTGTACCAAATGCGATAACTCAGCTCTCTTCATAATATCCTCTGCTCACAGCGGTAAGCAGTAAGACAGAGCCTCGCAGAAACCTCATGGGAGCGGCGAGAAAGGTCACGTCCCGCATCGTCGCCGTTGGGGTTAGCTTCTCAGCGATTATTATTATTATTATACGCTGAATAAACGAAGAAGCGTGAAGATGACAGGCGACAGACAAGGCACGAATTTACGCCTTGGTCAAATATGTGGTTCTTCGCGAAATTTACGGTGTTAGCGGGCTACATCGCGCTGAGTGGCAGGCAGAGGAAGTCAGAGCTGTATCCATTTACAAGTCAGTTTAAGAGTCGCTGTACGTCTGTAGTACTCAAAAATGCAGTCGGTGCCTTTGTTTTTTTAAATTGATGAGTCCTTAGATTTACATGGTTCAATAGATAGTACTGCCTTGACAGCTGGTAGTCCCGATTAGGAAATGAGTAAAACAATTTGAACGGATTTGACGCTTTACCGTGCCACCAAGTTGCCTTTTCTTGCTGGGACACAAGTAAGGTACAGTCGAACACCTGTTTTAAAATGTAGCTGAACTATTAATTGTATGATACTATAATGGACAAATGCTTCCTTTAATTTCGTTCAAGTAAACCCGACCTCTAGTGCTCAGTCCCTCAAAAAAAAAGTATAGAGCAGGGACTAGACTTACCGGCGACCCGACAAGAAAGCGAACATCAAGCTACAACGATATAATATATTGTTTTTTTCCAAGGGCACTGTGGCGGGCGAACATCAATAGATGATGGCAAATGCCTCCACATTTAAAAAAAGTGATGTCAAATCAGATTTCAAGCAAAGTACAGCTATAGACAGTTCTACATACAGGACGTGTGTTGTCTGTTATCGCATAATGAACACACACCTACGCATAGAGAACCTCCGCGCGACCACCCACACTTCTAGCGTGATTAACTGACCAAATGTCCTATCGTATCTACCTAACATGATCGTTGGCCTTGCCTCGAAGTGTCTAGTGACAAATCACAGCATTATTTTTTTAACTCGCAGTAGCGGCGTCAATATCAGTAGTAGTAGTGGCAGTGTGATCGGTGACTTATGACTGAAAGAAACTGGCCCACAAACGAGCCCAAGGGCATCAGGCGCCCATAATTGGGAGACTAGTATTTTCAGCTCCCCATCGGCGTGTCGTAACGATGGTCGGCGAGCCCAATGGTTGATTCTAAGTTCCCTGCAGTTGTGCACAGCAAGGCGGCATGCCACTAAATATATGCATAGTCTCCAGTCAGCGCACCATGCCACTTACCGCCGCGGTACACTGCTTCCCCTGTCCCTCCCTTCCGTCCGTATTCAACAGAACAAGCAAAAGCAGGCAAAAGTGGACGCAGAATCAGAGAGAGATAGACGGCGAAAGAAAGAGCGCAGACGCACATGTAATGTAAATGGTGCTGCGATATTTCAGGAGCGTCGAAGCACTGTGGCTCTGCCGCGGCGACCAGCTCCATCGAGGGGTTATGAGCCATCCTTCCCCATGAACAGCCCATCGCCCCGTTGCCAGCTAACAGTATCAGTCGGCCAGTTGCTTGCGCCGTCGATTCGCTACTCCCTTCCCGGGAACGCCCAGCTACCGCGTATGCATGGAACATGGACAGACCCGCATACAAGCACACGGCAATGCACACACACACACAGCTAGACTTCTGCTCAGAAATGCGCTATCTGTTCTGGTCTAGTGCGACGCAGTGCGTTATGGAACAAAATGCGTTTTAGGCTGCACAGCATAAATGCATATCGCCCGGTAGAGTCTATGCAACGGCGATGAATGTATAGATAGATTCAAAGCAAACTCGAAGTGAAACTCTAGGTTCCGCTTATCTACTATACATATATATATATATATATATATATATATATATATATAAAAAACTCCCTTTTTTTTATATAAATTGGACAGATCTGGTTCTTCGCCAGTAAGTGAAAGGATACTATAAAGTAATGTATTCAGTTTCTATTGTGTTTGTAAGTACACTTATTACCAGAGTCTCTACACTCAAACGTCAGAGATTTGCCTGAGTTTATACTCGTCCGCAGCAACCGCGAATGCAATCTTTGACCTGAAGCCTAACAAGTCAGCCACACGTACCACATTCTTCCAGCTCTTGGCACTTCTAAATCTTAGTTAACTTAATAGGATCCAGGAAATACTTCAACTGTCCAAAATTCATTTCGCAATCATCCTTTTAGTAACGGGAGCAAACCACAACAAATTTAGTCCATGATTTTTTACGTGAGAAGCGTTTGCAGTTGCTTTCTCTTGCAACAACAACAGCATACAGCAACAACAAAAGTAATAACAGCAACAAGAGAAATAATAGCAACAAGAACATACAACAACGACAAACCGTGGTGACGGAGAGAAGGAAATCGGTTAAAGAAGGTTCGACGAGGACCGAATGTCTTACCGGCTTTATTCAGCCCTAAAATGGTCGAATTTTCTCGTTTATAGCCCCAGCCATGTTCTGTCCTTACGAATAAAGGAGATGTGGAATCTTTACCGCCATTACTCCCTTTCATCATAAATAGCAACGCTGTCTGTGGTCTCCAATGGTACTGCAAGCAGCCGATACCATGTTAGTTGGTAGTAACTTAATGGATCTCATTGTGGGTCCACCTACAAAAAGGAGATTCACGTTCGTTCGTTTGTCTCAACTCTTTCATCAGCAGACTTCAGTCATGACAATCATGTCGGCCGACTTGGTACGTCGGAAAGGAGCATGGAGTTGAAACGTGCATAGAAGTGAGGATATAGGTACCTGCCGTTCAGTGCTGTTGTCGTAGCAGCTGGCTGGCAGTCCAGCAATAGCAATAGCGGTAACGTACATCGCACCATAACGGGTAGTGCAATACAAGCGAAACGAAAATGAACATTTAAGTGACCTCTACCAAATCTCATGGAAAAATGTTTCATTGTTAATTTGTCTTTCTTATTACAAGCAACTAATTGTATCGCAAGCTCGCCACATAGAGCACCCAAACGTGCGAGGTATTAAATGTAGTTTACATATTATAGAGTCGAGAAAATGTTATCGTTTAGAATCAAATAAGCGCCAAAAAAAAGAATAACGAAGATAAAGCACAAAAAAATTTTTAAGAAAAACCAAAAGAGCGACAAAGGTGGCGTTTGAATCTTTCGAAAATATGTGATACGTTGCGGCGTGTATCGCAGCGAGAATAGAGAAACAAAGTTCCGTCGTTTGCTTTTATTCTGCTCATATACATGACTAATTCTCAATGGCAAATAAAGATTCATGTACCCGAACAAACAAATGTGTATTTCGCCCGACGTGTGCCTGAGGCTCCGAGATGATGTTGAAGGAGTTGACAGTGGGGTGGTTAAGTCTGTGACAGGCACGAAACGTTTGAAGGCCGGTAGGATACCATCAGTGGTCATAATGGTAACGTTAAACACAACAGCGAGTCTAGGCGAATGTATGAGATGTTTCACGTTGGCAGGAAAACCGTACGGGCGATCGCGGTTGCGCGCTACTTTTATTTATGAATTCTATAGCGAAGTGTAAATTCTACCTTTCGGAATCGACCGTCGTGCACCCATTTGTGATCGACGAGGTATCATCTCCGGAAACGAGTAGGGTATTTCTAAAATATGACCACTACCGAAAATGCAATCTAACCCTAAGGATATACTCGTATCTAGACGCAGTGAGTCGATAGATCTCGGCAAATTCGGTGCTAAGAATTTTCCCTGCTGGTAATAGTTTTATTGTTATAAATACAAATGCTAAGGCAATGTTATTGTCTAAGCTTTACATTTACGGTAAAATTTCGTACAATAGAATACACTTGTTTCTTAATCGAACATGTTGCATAGTGTATGTCTATGCCACCAACGTGTCTAATGATATATCCCTAAAATATTGGGCCTCTTGGCCCAAAAATAATAGGTTGCCTAACCTGCAGAGTCGCATGTTATACGTAGAAACTAAATAGCTTGAATTTCATGAAACCAATTCAGAATTTGACACGCACCTATCCTGCTAGACTATCAACCGTGGGGGGAAAGATGTGCTTTTTGTTCAGCGCGCTTCGTTTCACTATTAATTGCTTCCACGAGCGCCATTGTTGGAACCTCAGCGTGGCAATATATTGATTTTCCTCCTGGAGGAAGAATGCGGAGCCAGCGGCAAAAATCACAGTCTGACAACAGCCGCACTCTTAGTATATGCATAGTAGGAGCAGGGCAAGAACAGTCTTTTTATTGAAAGGAGAATGGTGAATGCATTTACTTCGGCAGTTTTGCTGGCCGCCAAAGCGGACAAGCTGAACACACGCTGGATAGTCTCACAATTTTCTGTACTGAACAAAGATATAAGTGCGTTAAATTGTCACGAGTCTCAATTATGAACGCGGGTGTGCAGATTTCATCATGTAGGCTTTCCTGTCTTTTTTTTTATAGCCATGTAGGCATTGTTTAAACGTAGATAAGTCAATATCGAGATGAAATAACCAAAATAAAATAAATGTTTCGTGTTTTACGTCCGGTGCTGCCGTTATGCTCTGCTTCGAACGCTTGGCTTTCGGCATCAGTGTAAGTTCGTTTTACGTCTGCTTCTAAGTTCAGTAAGTGAACCCATCACTACGGCACCATCACGGGCTGGGCGGACTAGGTCATATGAACCTCATCAAGCACTGAGACATTACACTTGCAATTCATTCATAAGTGTACACTTAATGGAAAAAACTTTTCAGAAAGAGTCATGGCTGCGTCCATTAATTTTGCACATGCTCCGTACAAAATCTGATCAATTTTTAAACCCCAAAGGTTAATAATGGTGGCTCCCTGGTGCCTTTGAGGTAAACGAGAAGGCTAACCATGCAAGTGTATGGCGCACGATACTCTGCGACCAAAAGGTGCCTATTGATGGGAAACATCACAGAAATTGCGTTCTGTGTTGATATCGATGACGTGAGGATGCTATGGATGAAACTAAGATGTCGCCCCACGCGCGATGGATTGAGGAACCAATAGGGAATGATGGCCGGACAACTGTCGAACCGGTCGATAGCAAGCGCGAGGCTGTTCTGTTCAATGCCGCATCTTAAGAAAATGTATCTGTCTAGTAACAAAGAGTTGTCAGCGGCTGCCGGACTACTAGCGGGGGGGGGGGGGGGGTTGGAAATTCGAGGTTTGAAGACAGTAATCCCCATGTGCCTACGGCAACAAAGACGAATCTTGCTTTTTCGAGGCTTGTTAAAAAAAAAGGGGAACAGAGCGAAGGTATCAAGGGGACTCCAACCGAGCCAAAGAGACATCTGAACTCGTCACTCAGCTTGGGATGAATTCGAGCGTTGTTGGTGCTGTATTGGAGAAGAGGCGCAAGGCAAAGGAGATCGACAGGAGTGATGGATGACCCCAGGAATTGAGCCAGCAAGCAGCCATCGATTCATGCCCGTGCACCCCTACCAGTTCCCATGGCCATTCTTCCAATGGTCTTCCCCCCTTTCTCCCTGTCTCCTCAGCCCGTTTCTTCCTGCATTGATAGCCAAGACTCCACTGCGGTTCCTTTTAGAGAATAACGATTTTTTCTTTTTCTTCTTAAAAGTCCCTGGTTCTACTCAACGTGACACTTGGTGGCGGCTGCGCCGTGTCGTCGTCTCACTGCCGAGTCGATAGAGGGACGGGACAAAGGCAACGACTGGCGAAAAGCGACTGGCTGGTGCTGGCTGGCCGCTTGCCTCGTTCCTGTCCTTTCTCCTTTAGCTGGCTGGCTCACCCGCGACCGTTTGTCTACCCGTACTGTCCCTCTCCTTGTCGTTTACGTCACCCCAGACCAAGCAGTTTTCCTGTTCGCGTGCTATCCCTTACAGACATAGTATAAGACAAGTCAGCAAATGGAGCGGTCGGCAAATGGGCGAAAGGGAAAGATGTGTCGACAATTCTTCCTCTAAGCATTTTCCTCGTTCTTCCTTGGCGCACCTTCCTTCCCCTACCTTTTTCGAACTAGCCGCTTCTCCCTTTTTATAAACGTCCGAGAAAGAGAAGCGAAGAAAGAGCGTCAGAACGTTGGCCGAGAATGAGGAAAGACCTCGAGACCACACAAAGGATTTGCGGAAGTTGAAGCGAAGGTGCAGTCTGGCTAGCGCCGCTGTCCAGGTCGAGATACAGACATAGTGAGAGTCAGCGCAGTAAGCAGAGCAGTGCCCCTTCACACTGGAATATTTATAGCATTGAAAACTTTTCCGTTTCGGATGGGCGATCGCGCGTGGCTGGTGTCGCTCCTTCTGCGGAAGGCCGAGTGGGATGCAGGGTGGTTGGTATCAAGTGTCGATAGCTCTCCTTGGTAGTAATAGAAGTAGCAGCAGCTAGCGGTAGGAATAGCAGCCGAAGGCCGACACGTCACTGGCGAAAACAGCGCTTAACACCGTCCACTTTATTCGCGTCACTTGCAGGCAATCCGAGTACCGTCTGTACAACTCTGCCCTTAAGGTTCACCCAGGCAATGTGAAGATGTGGAACAATCTTGGACGCCTTCACGAGAAGAACTCCAATCTTGTTGAAGCGTACAGCTATTATAACCAGGCCATGCGGTAAGTACCGGACGACTACGTCAAGTATCTTAAGGTTCACATACAGTCGGCCACTTATAACAAGCAGAATCGGTTTGATGGGGATCCTCCTTGATGGGGTGACAGCTCGCCACGTCTGGGTTTGCAACCGAATGCCCATCCCTCTTCCGCCTCCGACCGATTTACGCCAAAAGAGCAAAAGCAGCAACCACGGTTATGTGGTTCACCGACCCCTAGTAGCATTACTGATAACACTTTTTCCCACAGAAAATACTCCTCCATTCTTCCTTATCCCGCCGTACATCTCATTCCTAAGTTTCCTTAAAGTACGGTGAGCAAGTGAGCCGTATTCATGTCGGTATCGTATTCCTGATCTAAACGGAACAGTAGTGTTGATTCGTAGACACGGACCAGTACCCTGGTGAAGCACCCGAAGGAACAGAACGCGGAGAAAAGCTAGCTAACCGACATGAGAACCTGGCACGATTTTCAGCGTTAACTGTAAATTCAATACGGACAGCCATGTACATATGAGAGCGACTTTGGATACACCGATGCGCGAATACACACCATAAGCTGGGGCGCCCAGCTAACAGCCACCTATTTTCTTCAACTCCATGGCAAGTAAATCTATAATATATCGTGAAACTTCGGCTTGCGAATTCCCATCGTCAATGAATGGTCACCAACCAAAATCAGTTGCATCGCTGGAATCCTCATAACCGCTGATACATGGTGTATCTAAATTAAAAATTGTTATTAGGCTTTGCTAAGCCGTAATATGAACGGATGTTTCAACCAAATGTTTTTCATTTGTTAGAAGCATCATTGCTAACGATCATGCTTGTTCAATATACTACCTTCCGTCGCTAGCACAGCTTCATTGTGGCACCTTAAATACTGAAGATTCTTTCCTTAACTCTTTAATAGTATCCACATGTAAAACAATAGTGGTGAAAGAAAACTTGTTAAAGTGTCACTCAAATATATTAAATGAAAATAATTCGAAGGAAACATAAATTGGAACTGATAACAGGCCAAGAGTCCCAGAAGTGCGAAGGTTTAAAACAGGTAAAAAAAAAGGCTTAAAAATGAGAAAAATGGCCAAAAAAAAGTTTCAAAAATACTAACTGTTCCGACGATTCACTTGGCAAACGGTATTCTTCTTTGTAAAATGCCGATTCATTCCTATAGTAAGAACCCAGATGTATCAAAAATGCTTGTCTAAGTCATTTTGATAAATTCTTGACTTTTAGAAGGTGAACTTTTTCGAGAATCTTCCTGTGTACCTTATAAAGGCCTTCTTCGGATTCTTCGCAAGGTGCATGACAGCTGGCAATAACGTAAACCAATTTCGGGCAGAAAAGGGAAATTTGAACTTTCGGATACTAAAGTGCTGCTTTTTTGCCATGATGAGTTGGTTATATTCTTCTAGAAATAAGTGAGTTCCTTCCGAAATCAACAGATGAACGCATGCCAGCTACGACAGAAGCTAGCTTTCTAAAGTCGGCCCTAATTCGAACGCACGATGCTAGATAAAATACGTATGACTTATATCTATATATGTTGTTAAATGCCTCCGATGCCGTTTCTAGTCCAGATCTTGTTAGGAATTTTCTCGCTATCTATGTCGATCATTTGAATTCATTGTATCGCCCCTTCGCGTTTATCAACAGCGGCTGGTGGACCGTCAAGGCTGCTGGTAAACTCACGCACGACTTCCGGTCCATTGTACACGTATTTATTCAACGATTATATAGTACCCGATATACTAGCGGCTGTAACAGTTTGCTTATCAGTACGCAGCATGAGTTATGACAACGGCAGAGTATGCCCAAATAGAAACGAGATTATATATCCACATATAAATATTGAACTGTCGTTCGAAGAACATGAATGTTCAGGCATGCAGTGCAGTAAATCCTTTACAACCGTCTGTCTGAATGAAGGCTAGGATAGTTCTGCTTTTCGAATGTGAGTTGTTAAGACGTGTCCTGCATTGTCGTACTGGTGTGACTTTGGGATAACGGGCGTTCTGAAAACCCATCTGGGAAGAAGAAAGTGGCTCCTCGTGATTTAAAGTGATATTTATATATCTCTGCGTGTACTCGTAATCCATACATATACATGTATATAGATAGATATAAGTGTCTGCTCGCCGTATATATATATATATATATATACAAACTTATATAAGATTGTATGTGCTAAAAACATGGCCGTCAATATCGGTTGCTTCGGGCTCGGCTGATCGCCGAAAAGCTTCTGCGGCAACCGGTGGCCAAAACCTGCTCTATCGCGCCCCCGCCTTTGCTACGGCCTGCGCACTAGCGTTTCCCAATACGCCCAATTTTGTTACGAAAAATGGCATACTCAACTCGCAGCCATTGTTGGATAGGGTCTTATATTTCGAATACATACATATGTACAAAGTTCGCCAGCTTTTGAACTCTCGTATTTGTTCAAATAATCATCTTATCTTGTGTTGCATAACATGGGCCGCCGAACAATATCAAAGGGAAAAAAACTATACAATTATTGTGTAAATGGGATACGCTTATGGGATAGATATATATATATATATGAAAAAAAAAGTATATATATATACTTATATTAAAAAAACAATCGTCTGTATCAAAATTATGTCCTATATAACAAAGCATCGTCCCCTTTTATTTTCTTTACAGCTCGATCTATTGCACTGGAGAATTCTTGTTATGTCTAGAAATTGTTATAATTGATTCTACCTACGGCCACACTTGGGTTTTATCATCATTTGACTCATAGGCTTAAGTTTTGCGAGCAGCTTCGTATTCTTATGTCATTCTCTGGATAACAACGAATCTTCTGCCCGTATGAGCTTATAGTTTAACAGAACTTAACAGCGGAATGTCTAGTATCCACCACTGGCAATTTTTTTAATGGAACGCTGCAGGAGCTCAAGAGTCGCTCGTACGCATTACCTCGTACAGTTATCAATATATCGGAGTTTGTGGAACCGTAGACTACTGCCGTTGCTTTACCACATGAGGCATTACCAACCCAGAACTATCAGATCTCTCAGTATTTCAATATTCATAAAAAAAATAATGCCTGACAACCGTCAAGCCGAGCAGTGAGCGAGCGAGCGAGCGAGCGAGTGAGTGAGGTAGTAAATTAGCGTATAGCTCTCTTTAATTGAAGTAGACATAGAATTTATTCAAAGTTCATGTGAACGGTAGTCACCACGTACTGCAATTTCTAATTACGAACTGGCCTTGCATTACAATGTTATCACAATTGATGGTCTTTATAACATATAATATCTATACATATACAAGCCGCAGTGGTTAAATTTAGGATATATGAACACTTCGTTAAGTGTTCGGAAGCATTTAGGAATACGTCATAGGATGTGAAGTACCGTTATTCCGCATATCATCCCCAGAGCTTCACAGAATGGAGATAACCACAGTAAATATTTATATTATGTTTAGCTGTAACAATGTCGCGAGCAAGCCCTTTCTAATATAACCACATTATACATACGGTATTGGCTAGTTTAGAACGATACCGTGCTTTTTCGCATGAAAGACAAGCTGCCTATTAGCGCCTGTTTTAATAGCGTGGTTGTATAGACACGAATACGTGCACACGTACGCCTATGCACACGTTCCTCTATTCCTCCTACACGCACCTTTGCTCCTGTCGGCGAAGTCGAGATTCCCGACAGCAACTTAGTGACACAACTATATCTTTGTTTACACATTGACGCTGTCTAGCCCACCTAAGGCTCACACTGGTCGCGAGAGCTAATGAAAAAACAGTTTGCCGAGTAGCTTTCGGACGAAGGCCCAGCTTGTGCTATGTCTATCGTCTTTATGTCTCTATCGTGGCGTCGTATTTTTCTCATCGTCGCCTTCGGTTTGCATATATGTACGACCTCGTACAGTGCCGCGACCCGCATGATGCCGCGTGTAAAAAAAACATATGTTATTGGTATTTGGCCTGGCAGACAAGCATGGATCGTAAATAGGAAGGCAGCCGATTGCGTCCGCAACTCCACTATCACCGGGACGGATATCGGGAACATGAACTCACACAGTTCGTTAACAGCATTGACCTATATTATGGCGCCGATAGAAGTTCCGGTTTATTGCAGTTCGATACAAGTTTGAGAAAACCAAATAGGCTACGCAAGGGGGGGGGGGGGTACCTCTTGAATGATTTGTTAAAGTATCCCACTTTTCCATGTGAACAAATAATGAGAGGTTATGATTTTGTGAATCATTAGCATCCTGAAATTTTGTCAAACATGCATACTTTGTCATACCCGAACATAGTAGCACAAGTTGTGACATTACACTTATTTACGTTCATAGGCATTGCTTTTATCTTTCCATTTTTTAATGACACATGTCAAAGCCACAAACTAGATGAAACATGCTGTATGTTCGTTATATACTTAAAGCTCCAAGATACTAGCACAAATTCCCACTATTGTTTTTGGGCAGAATATACTTTTTTGTTGTCATGTACACAAGGAATTGTTTTGCTGTTTATGTTTCTGGGGGTGTGAGGGCGGCCGTGGACGGGTTGACTGGTTTGTGTATCGATTATCAACATGTTGATGCACTCCGTGGTATTTTTGTTTATTATCTCTCAAATATATACAAAATCTCAGATGTTGCACAAAAGCACGTAGATGCTCAACGAAGATTCCCAAAGGCAATTGCATTTGTTTCAACTTGTTCCAGCATATATATATGTATATATATATATGGGGTTTCTTTCAAAATGACATAAGTCCTCTTCAGTTTATATTGAGGACATAAGCTTGTTTATGCTAGGAATCCGTAATAAAATGAATAAGCTCTTTTTTTTTTTGGACTACGAATTAATTTGCGCAGATCTTGCCTTTGTAGTCCCTCTGATAGCATGTACAGGGCCCATCTTCACGAAACGCTAAACCGAGTTCAGTTTGTCCTCTTTCGAACCGCCTGTCATAGTTTTTATGGCGTGAATTTTTCTAAGTATGTTGT